TGAAGGTCAACAATAATAGGTACTTGCCATTGAAATGAAAGCGCTGGCGATCATTGACGCGGCCGTTCTTGGTGAGATAGTACTTGAAGTAGTAATTGGGTTCCTTGATGTTGCGGATCTCATCTTGGTCGTTGATGAAATAGCTGGAAATGTTAGCTCTGGTCAAGGCCTACAAAGGTAGAGGCCACAAACCCAAGATCCTTCAAGTTAGATGAGAAGATAGGGTCTTTGGGGAGACCAGACCACCGACGGAGGAACATGGTGGTGGTTGGAGAGAACCTAGGTCGGGAAGACTTGAGGTGTAGAAGGAAAGATGGCTGAGAAGGGGCTTTGTGTTATCGATTTTGAAGAGACGGAGATCGAGGCTGTGATAAGTTCGGTGGGAGAGCAGGAGAGGGACCGAAAAGATGGTAAGATGAAAACAAAACAGTAGCAGTGAACAGGAAGGAACCCCAGGCTCAACGATCCTGGCAAGATCCAGGCCCTCTTGTTGAATGAGAAGGCAACTGCACTCGTGAGACTTCCTGCCTAGATAGACATATGCGAGGCATGCAGAATGGAAAATCGTCCGCTATCACACAGATCCGATCCACACGTGAATTGAGATGTGTTGTACATTGTTTGCCAGTATTTGTATCTGTACATATGCGTCTTAGGGTGCGAACATGCAGCCAAACGCCAATTCCCAAATCGTCTGTGAGCAAGCTCGCGAGCGTAGCATGCCGTCTCAAAGGTACACGAGCCCTTTCGTTGTATCTTACAACAGTGTTCCCCTGCTTTTATTTTTGATAATCATCCTCCGCCGCATCTTCGTCTACCAACTAGCCTTCTTAACACCGGGAATATTACCCTCGTACGCTTGCATACGGAAGTTGAACTGTATTTCTTAGTCAGTCTGCGCGAATCTAAACCCAATTGCGACGAAAAGCCACGTTTTCGACGTACCCTCGTCATCTTGAAGTCGCGGAAGACACCCCTGGCCTTGCCACCCAAAATGCATCGGTTCTTGATCTGCGTCGGCCGGGTGTAGCAGTGCATCTGACCCAGCTGAAGCTGCGCCTCGGCGCGCACACGGCCTGGGAGAGTCGTGTTCTGGATAATGTATCGGAGAGCTTGTCTGTTCCACGAGCTTCATGTCAGTTTCAATTCCATTGGCGTCGTCGGTTTTTAAGGGGATGTAGGAGGCTCGGTGTTGCTGACCTCTCGGGCTCGTTTTGCATAAAGACCTGGCGCTTCGTGTGGTCACGAATCGTCCTGATGTTGACGAAACATCCCAGATCGAGCTTCTTCGCGCGGAACATCGACATTTTGGCGGCGGTTGTGACGTATTGAACGGGGAGTCGCTGATCGTGCAATCGCAAAAGTCAAGCTTTCGAAGCTCGGATTGAAGTTCGCGATGGGTCACGTGGAGGGCGTTATCTTATCTCTCACCGAGCTTCACCGAGCCCACCCAAGGTCACCCTGCCTGGGTACCTTACCTTACCTTAGATCGAGCTCATCCGCAGGCGCTGGCAAGCGCTTTTCAAGAATAATACTTCTGTCAATATAGACTCCATGTGAGCTCACAGAAATAGCATTTTGGTATTCGATTAGCCAAAACCTCCAAGAACGCCAGCCATCATCTCAGGCTATGACTGAACCCCAAACTTTGCAATATGATACAGCAGCGACACGACCTCTCGAAAAACACCAGTGACCCTCCAAAAAGATCAAAGCAGTTCTCATCGTAACCGAAAAGGCAGCGCGCGGATTGGCTGCTATAATTGGTCCAAGAGCTTCTGCCGCCGCCTGTTGATCAACTCTTCTTGCACCTCCTCCAGTGTCGGCAGCTCCCAACCTTTTCCGTTGCCTGTGTCACCCGGCAAAGCCTCCCAGTCAGGCGGTAGTTGCTGCTTTCCGGTCTTTGCCATGTGCGCGAGGGCCTCTTCCTCCTTTGCGAGCTCATACGCCAGCAATTCCGGGTCCTCCTCATCTGGCGCGTAACCGTAGTACGCCGCATCGACCTGTTTCCGCAAGTCGTCCCTCGTCTCTAGAGGCTTCTCATTTGTGGCCTTTGCCTTGGCTGCGTCGAATAGCTCCTTGACTCCGGGCAAGTCTCGCGCGCGTCCAAAATATCGATAGCCTTTCCCGCCTCCTGGTATCTCTCGTCCCTCTTCGTCGTATATCTTGCCGCCTCCACGCATGTAATTAGGTCCACCAAGATTCCGTATTTGCACCTCCCACATGTACTTTTCCCTCATGAGCTTGTTGATTTCATCGTTGAGGTCACGGATCTGATAGTCACTGAGGGCGGTGTCTTGAATCTTGGAGACCTTGCGCGAGATCTCCTTCAGCACTTGGCCGCGCCACTTCTCGCATGACGGTATCGAATCGACTTCGGTGATCACTCTCGGTCGTCTTGTCCGGCCGATGTCGATAATGCCCAGGTCCGCTGCTTGCGCTTCGCGAAAGCGAAACAGCATGGACTGCGCCTTTTCCGAGTTTCGCGCCTGCGCCTATTAGCATCCTCCAAGTTCAACATGCACGGGAGATTCACATACCATTGTGAGAGCTTTGGCGACGGGATAGAGCGCTGAGCTTCGAGCGAATGTGGTTTGGTTTGGCTTTGGAAAAGAGAGTCGCACGGCAGGGCACCGTCGTCTTCTGAAAGCTTTCGGTCGTCAATGTTGCGCGCCTGGCACGGGCCTTCCCCCACATCCAATCAGCCACGCCTCCAACAGAAATATGGGACCTTCCACTGCGGGCGAGGTAAGGTAGGTACGCTGTGCTTTGTACACTAATCGTACAGCACTGCTCCTACCACCACTGAACCACCACCAAGTGACGTGCGAGCTTCACACACTTTTGGAGCTGTCCAACTCCACGACAAGCTCAAAGCACCACACCCCCATCACCATGCGCCTTACGACGCTGCTTCTCGCAGCTACGTCGCTAGTCGGCGCTGTGTTCGTCGACGAGGTTGGCGACATCGACTACCACCACGAGCTCATCGGCGTCCCCCAGGTCGAGACCACCCTATTCCACAAGCCTCGGCGCGACGATAAGGCTTCACTACTCTACACCCTCAGCGATGTTGGCGTTCTCGGAGCCGTCAATCCCAGCAACGGCGCGGTCGTCTGGCGTCAATTCCTGACGGGCAATATCACGAATGGAGGCGGACACTTGCGAGCGGCCGAGGACGAGGATTGGGTTGTGTCTGCGTACGGAAGCTCAGTGCATGCCTGGAACGCCTTGTCCGGCAGGAACGCCTGGTGGATCGACTTCGTGGGCACCATTAAGGATCTGGAAGTCATGGAGATGACAGAAAACGGACGCAAGGATGTGCTGGCGCTTTTCGAAGAGGAGGATGGCTCTACCGTCCTGCGAAGACTCAACGGTGCTGACGGAACTGTGGTGTGGGAGAACAAGGATGCGTCCAAGACTATCCCGCTCCAGGTATCCAACAATATCGAGAAGATCTTTGTTGTCAGCCTTTACGGAAACGACGGTATGTGGGCCGTGAGGGTGTCTGTCCACGACACTCTCACTGGAAAGCGCATCGACGACATCAGCCTCGGCAGCAAAGGCGACGTTACGGATAAAAGAGACGTCATGTTCGTAGGCGCCAACTCCGCGTCTCCCATCGTCGCCTGGCTCGATAGCGATCACACGAAGCTCAAGGTCAACGTTCTGGGCACCAAGTCGAAGCAGGAGTTTGCCCTCCCGTTCCCCAGGACCCTCGATGTAGCTATCCATGCCCCGCATCACCTCAACGCGGAGCCGCATTTCTTGGTGCACAGCAGATCCTCCGACAGCCACAAGGGCGAGGTCTACCACGTCAATATCAAGAACAATGCTGTCACCAAGCACCACGAGCTGCCGGTGCTCCCTGGACTGGGCGCGTTCTCGACTAGCTCGGAGGGCGCCAACGTGTGGTTCACGCGCATCACCGAGGAGGAGGTTATCCTTACCTCGTCAAGCTCACATGCCATCCTCGGAAAATGGGCCTTCAAGGAAGGAGAGATTCGCATCTCTTCACGCCGTATCCGAGGTTATCAAGAAGGCTGCGGACAACTTTGCTGTCCGCTGCGCCGCTGTTACTACGCTGGATGACTGGATTCTGGTCCGCAACGGCGAGGCCTGGGTTCGCCCTGAAGGTCTTACCGGAGGTGTCGCTGCGGCCTTTGCAGAAATCCCCGAAAGTGAGGACCTCGCCAAGACCCTCGAAGCCGAGGGCACGACAACGTCCTGTCTGCTTACATCCACCGTGTCCAACGTCACTTTGATGATCTCGCCTATCTGCCCGACTACCTTGCCTCGATCCCCCAGCGTCTGGTCAGCAGCATCACCGGAGCTGAGATTACCTCAAAGACAGAGGGTCTTTCTCGCGATGCTTTTGGTTTCAATAAGATCGTGGTTCTGGTGACCAAACGCGGCAAGCTTTTCGGTATTGATATCGGCAAGCATGGCAAAGTCATCTGGAAACTTCACGCTGTCGACATCGCCCCTTGCAACACCTGGGATATCAAGGGCATCTTCGTTGAGGATGCCAAGTCCACCGTCACTGTTCGAGGCCACTTTGGCGATTACGTTATAGCCAAGACAGACACTGGCAAGATGGTTGACTCCATGCCTGAAGGCTCCTGGGTGCAAACTCAAGCTGCCGTCATTGTCGATAGCCCTTCAGGACCATGGCTCGCCCCGGTTGGAGTTGGAGGTGCCATCGGCGACGTCCCTGCTGCATGGATACCCACACAGACTGTCGTCGTTCGTGGCTTGAAGGGCGAGCTGAAGGGCTTAACCTACATCGAGGAGGAAGGCACAGGCAAGGAACAGGTTGCTTGGGAGTTCTCTGCGCCAGCGGGCTTTGAGATCGTCAACATCGCAACCCGTCCCGTCCACGATCCCATTGCTTCCATCGGACGTGTTCTCGGCGACAGACGCGTCAAGTACAAGTACCTGAACCCCAACACCATTGTCGTTTCTGCCTACAGCAACGCCAAGTCTTCTCTCAACGTCTACCTGATCGACTCGGTCTCAGGCGCTGTCCTCCACTCCACTGCTCATGAGGGAGTTGACGGCAACAAGAACATCGAGTGCACACTCGCTGAGAACTGGTTCGCCTGCTCGTTCTTCGGACAGTACTCTCTCAAGGATGATGCTGGTCAGCCTCTCTCTGGACAAACCCTGAAGGGCAACCAGATCGTGGTCTCCGACTTGTACGAGAGCGAGTACGCCGATGATCGAGGCCCGCTTGGTGACGCTGCCAACTTCTCCTCTACCGAGCCTGTCGATACCCCGACCGGCGTGCCCTTCCTCAGTGATCAGCCAAGCTTGATCTTGTCTGCCCTCTGGCCGCTCTTGCTGTCACGCAGACCCGCCAGGGCATCACCAGCCGCCACGTTCTAGGCTACCTGCCAGAGTCTCACGCCATTGTCAGTCTTCCCCGCCAGCTCCTTGAGCCAAGACGTCCAGTCGGACGTGACCCGACACCCGCGGAGATGGAGGCGGAGGGCTTGATCAGGTACCACCCCGCCATTGAGATCGACCCCAGACAAGTTATTACCCACCAGCGCGACGTCATTGGCGTGCAGAAGATCATTACCTCGCCTACCATTGTGGAGAGCACCAGCTTGGTCTTCTCCTACGGCGTCGACGTCTTTGGAAGCCGTGTCGCGCCTAGCTTTGCGTTTGACATCCTCGGCAAGGGCTTCAACAAGATTAGCCTGATTTCGACTGTCCTTGCGCTCACTGTTGGTGTTGCCGTGTTGGGGCCCATTGTAAGTTTTTTGCTCCCGCAAACGTTTTGGCAGATCATTTGCTAACGAGAGGAATAGGTTCGCAAGAAGCAGACCAACTTGCGTTGGGCGTAGATAAAAGTATTGTATGATATCATGATATAATAGAGTCGTTTGAGTTTGTGCAATGATGTCCCTGCATGTGTCCTTACCATCACCTTTACTTGCTGTCTACAAATGGTATTGTCGACTCAGAGTCGAAAATGGGAAAAGTTACCATTAACAATGCACCACTGTATAAGGCCTCTTGTGACTGCCTAGAGTTGCGCCTAGATGTGTAGAGTAGTCTCATGCTTTACTGTAGGACGTGTTGATGGACCAGCTTCCACAGCCCGTTCTGCGCGATGCATAAATGTGAGGTGAAAACTCTAGACCGTCATGAAAAGGGGCATCTCAACTGTCAATATGAAGCCGGTCACGATTTGACAACTTGGTGGCCTGCCGGCTAGACATGTTCATCTCTACGTGCTTCTACATAATCATGAACGCATGAACTATTGACTTTGGGAAGTGTTCAACAAAGTCAGTGGCGTCCTAGACGTTGCCAAAAGCTTTAAGCTTCAGTGTTGATTCGTGGGTCTTACTGCTTTTCTTGGGAGGGAGTCTGGGAACTAGATCCGCGAGCCGCGTCGATATTCTGGATCTATCTATTGGCAAAAGTGAAGCTTGCTGTGAGGAGTAGTTGCCAGGATGACGTTCTAGTGGAATTGGCAATGAAATCGGCGAGAAGATTGAGGTATATGAGGAGATGCTTGAGCTTCAAAACTCCATTGTGTGGTATTGATACATGGTCCATCATTCGCGCGCGAGCAGTGTTCCCGCCGAGTTCCCTTCGTCTTGACACCTAGCAACAGCGCCGCACTCGACACAACTCCAATAATCAACTCAGTCAACTTCTAAAAACCGGCCCTTAATCGGCCAAAGTGAATTTGCGCCGTTAAGTACTGAGCTATCTCGCAACTCAGTAAAGTTTCGTATGCTTAGGCTTAACCCTAAAAGCTGAGTAGGAACAATAGGCTATGGCTGTGTAGAAAATAAATGCCGAGCTCCTCGAAAGTTTTTTTACTTAAATAATTGGTTTGGCACTCCAAGTAGATGTTTCGAGATGCTGCTTTCACTTTCACTGATGTTCAATGTTCACATGGACTATGACTACCTGTAGGTTCAGAGAATACCGAACCACGACGTGCCGGCCATTTCTGTGGATACTTTCAACATTGGACGACGTGACTCTTTTGGTCGTTCCATTTTGCTCAATTATAGCTGCTTTCTGACCTATTCATGCCAATTGGTGCGTGCCACGAGTCGTAACAGTCATCAACGTTGTAAATCGTTGGACGGAATGTGTCGAGAGATATGGCGCACAGCAATGAGCACATATTCTAGGTTTGTAGTAGCTCAAAGTAACCGATCTAGAACAAAGAGGTAAAAACTAATCTACACAATGCGATCTATGGGAGAATCCACATGGTAGAATGTCTCGTAAGTGCTAGTAATTTTCTGTCTCGGGACAGAAAAAATGTATTATTGTTGACAGATTCCAAGAGCACCGCCCAAACTCCATAAATCAAAAAATTAGAAACGAATTCATAATAAAGCTGTTCGACTCTATCAACAAATTTAATATGCATACAGAGCTGAACATCATGCACTGAATCAATTTATGAGCGCTTCAGCGCAAAGCAAATCACCGTTAGGCAAGGTGGGAACAATAGTATCGCAATATCAGTGAGAGTTGCTGCCTCGACACACGAGTAAGTGTCTGCCATTATCTCTTATGCCCTAGCAATGCAACGCAAAAGGCTCCTTTCTACTTTTGCTACCGACATCATGTGGGTAGCCAAATTAAGCTTAATTCATCGTCGCGCTGTCTGACTATGGTCCATCTGATGTCGGCATTGACTTTCGTCTGAACGACCAGCCTGTCTTTCCAAAACAAACATCAGATGTACGCTGAATCTCTCTCATCACTCAGCAAGACTTTGCATTTTAGAAACATCATCACAGCCTACTATTTCCTCTATTTCGGTGAGATCCTACACAAGGCTCCTTTGTAAGTGTAAAGCATTGTCTACACTGCTGAGGAAACCGAACTTCGCGACATCACACGATACAATCGCGCCTGGCGTCTACGAAAGCAGCTGGATGCGCTATTTTCTCTCATAAGATAAACAACACGCCCGAGGCAATATGCGCTTGTTAGGACCAGGCATGCTAACGGTGTAGCCTTCTTTTCAGGTGAGGCGGAATTAGGATGAATGCGATGAGGATCGAGGCTGGGGACGCCCAACCACCCACGCTATCAAGCAGGCTGTATTGGAATTCTTCGAATATCTTAATGCAAGTGCCTTGATTCAAGCGCTTCAAGTGTTGGTTGCTTTCGCATATTGCCTTTCATCGATATGCAGTGATACACATGATTGGACGTTTCCAAAGATTCTCAGTCCGGCGGGCATAGACCTTGTGACCTTTTCAATAGGGCACACAAGACTGAACCTGAGAAAAGACCTCATCGGTGTCATCTAATGTGGCCTGGCGCATTAGTGTCCATGTGGTTGCCTTGTATAGTGGAGAAGCTGACGATGTTATGTGGACATATGTTCTAACCTCAACAGATCTATCGAATCCAACGCCCCAAATGTGCGGCTTCTGTGTTGGCGGTGCAGCAAGAACCCTCGCCAATGACCGCACTAAATATCATCGAAGGTGGGGGGTTTAGATAAGTGAAATGGTACATCCCAAGTGGCACATTTGTCTGGGAGCATTTCCCCTCGAGAATGTTCACTTATTATTTTCTCGAGTGAACAGTCGTGGGATTTGTGTTGAATTTGAATTCCACTGCAGTTCAATATTGTCACTGACTATTTTATCTTGTCCAACTCACAGCGTCGCAGTTGGACACGGGCCACTTCAGACAAGGGCCCTTGCCATGTTTGATGAAGAGCTGGATGAGTTAGGCAGAGAAATACGGTGGCTGGCGAGATATCCCTGATTTCTCATATGTATCTTCACCGCTTCCAAGCACAGCATTCTGAGGGAGGAGCTAACCGGTAATCTTGGGCTTTCCTCTTAGGTAGTGATGGTCCGGTTCAATGAACGAATGACAGAGCACATGATTAACTGGTCAAGCGCGCTAATTACTAGCATCTTAAGACTGTGCCGTTATTACTAGGTCGGACTATTATGTCACCAAGAGTGACTCATGACTCACCGCCATGTTGAACAGGAAAATAGAGTAACACCGCTCATTTCGAGAACACAGGTGTGTTATGAACGCCTGAGATGTCAATGTGAATTCGAGGGATATGGATGGAGGCCTGCAACCTGGTTGCCTGCTCGAAAAGCACAGGGTGCATTTTCGTCCGTATAAATGGTCTCACATGCTTTACCTCGATGTGAATTCTATTTCACACGATTCACGAATCAATCTATAGTGTCTTGATACTTCGATGTGAGGGACTGTAGCAACTGGTCTCACAAAGCTCGAGTTTTTATACTTGAGGATGTCTTCAATCAAAGATCACGCCAGAACGGCCTTGTGAACCCCATCATGTACTACGGAACGTTGTTCGGTCAGGTTTTCGCGTTCAACAAGCTAGCAATTTGTGTGATCAAGCGTCTGAGCGTACCAGGTTGAGTAACAATTTGCAGTCGTGTAACCTCAGGCCGAAGTCAGACAAGAACGCCAATATCAATTCCTACGCGCATGTATACAAATTTGCATGTTGACTGCTGTATCACGCTGAGGATGCCTCATGTTCGCATCAGAGCACCTCATGCTGTGGACCGCCAGGTTACTGTTAACTAAGCAACCAAGTCCTGGGTCAAGGACATTTGATACGCTATCTAAAACGTCATGTCTTGATTAACATGCCTGATCGATGTGTGAGGCAATGAAAGGCAGACCAGATGCCTTGCGAATCCTCATCCTTCACGTCCTCCGAACCCAGACGCAATGTTCTGGAGACGAATCGGAGGTTCGCCACCTGGACTCCTGTCCAATGTCAGGGTGATCAATTTGGCTGCCTAGACTTCCCTGTCATAATGATCTGATCCTGTCTCTCTTATCTTTCACCGAAGGTATGCAAAGCTATAGTAGCCACGTGAAAATTTTGAAGATCCCAAATACATAAGGTAAGCCAAGGTCCATGACCTCGTTTGCCTTACCTCGCCTGAGTCTTTCCTTCCTTCTTTTTGCCTTATCAGATGGCTTCTGTAACACTTGGCGACTTAGAAGATGGCAGTGCGAGGAGACTCATCAACTCTCACTCCCGATCAAGGAAACGTAAGTGCCGACGCCAGTGCTCAGGCTAATACGAAAACCCACTGAGAGTCCCGGATCGAGGGCTATCCCGTCCGGCAGGTACCGGGTGAGGCGGGCTGGCGCGCGGAGAAGCACGGCAGACCCGTTGAAGAATGATACCTACCAATGCTTCAGGGTTAAGGCGGGCTCTCCCGTGCCTTAAGTTCAGACGTACATCCAGCGCGCAAATTCCCAGCAATGGAAATGGGCTCCGTCGATGACCCTGAAAAACCTAGAGGTCCGACAGGCCTTGGAATGCGGCCACTTACCGACCAATGGGTACCTAGTAGACTGCCAGATGCTCTAATGCCTAATGCCTGCGCCTTCAACCATTGGGCTCTCTGCATCAAATAATCCTGGTTGTTTCTTGCCATGCGTCAGCACTCCAAGATCCTCCCTGATGATATTCAATATTTGCATGGCTTATGGAGCTGAGCTGTACCATCTGAAGCCTACGTATTATGCAGCCTATGTTTCGTTGGGCAAGTATGCTTTCGCAGAACCGAATCAGCTTAAACCGTCGGTGATGTCTTTCATGCATCAGTATCGAATGGTGGTGAGGAGATCAACAATAGCGCCAACAAAGATAGTAAGCAGTACGCAGTCATCACAACAAGAAGAAGCGTGGAAGGTAAATGCCCCGCCGGCCTAGAGCTCACGTGCGCAGCCGCATCCTCGCATGAGCAAAAGATTGGATGTCGAGCGCGCCACCCGATGTAATTAGTTGACCTATGATTTGGGCGTAAGCCCTACAACTTTCGCCCCGATTTATTCGTGTTTAGATCTGATAGCGGGCCAGAGAGATGGGCTCACCTTTCAATGTCCACCTGACATCCTCCGAATAGCC